GAGTAATTAATGACAGAATTTTAATTTTTGGGTGAACTATGCCTTTAAAACCTGGAACCTGGCCTCATAAAAACACATCTTTAAATCCTTATAAAACTGCAAGACAAAATAATATATTTCATGATCATTTCAATGTTTTCAAAACCTAATCCTGTTCAACTTGCTTTTCTCCACAAGTAAAGTATGGCATGTCCTTCGCTGGTTCTCCGAAAACATTCATTATAAAAGTATGTCTCACGTCTCTGAAACCACTTTTATCATCAGTAGCTCTGCGCGCTGCCGCCACGTCATCCATCTTAATGAGATTCGGAGACCGACAAAGTTCAATACATTAGTGAGGAGAAGCATTGCGTAAACATTATCCAGAAACCTCAGTCAGGAGACTAAACGTGAACCTAGGCGTGCTGGCAAAGGCTCTGTTGTTAGGCATCCACAAGATTTCACATGTTTGTGAGGAACTGCCAGTCCAGCTCTCTAGTAATGGAGATGGAGCTCCTGCATTGTCTGAACATCACTTCCACAGGAAGATCTCCAGAAGCAGCATGCCTCCCATAGATGCTGTTGATACACACGATGGCCACCTCCCTCATGGGATCTGCACGTCTTCATATCCCGGTGGGATGGTCAGTGAGCCACGCAATGCACGTAAGAAGCTGCAGGTGATTGTTTGTGTACTCTTCGTGGAGCTTTTTGAGAGGTTCACCTTCTTTGGGATTGTTTGCAATATGATCCTTTTCTGCACCATCAAGCTGGGATACAGCAGTTACCAAGCAGCCATGGTGAACACATGCTTTGTAGGAGCCAGCATACTTACACCGGTTCTTGTGGGATGGTTTGCTGAGACGTGTTTGAGAAGGACAACAGTTCTCTGTTTTTGTGTGCTACTTCATTTCTTCGGTTAGTGGTCACCACTGTAATGAATCCTTGGTAGACTTGGTATATCTACGTATAAATAACATTTATACTTAGCGTCTAACTTACCTCACACTCAAAGCCACTTGTTTTGTTCAGGGTTTAGCCTAATGAAACAGACTGTCACTCATTTGGAGAGCTGAGTATTATGTATCTGTACGACGTTTTCATTTGAAGAGATCTTCTGTTGGATAACTATGTGGTACGTATATATGACAGTGGTTCTCAAACAGCGGCCCAGGGTCCACAAGAGGACAAATGTTATTATTAATTATTTAATAAAACTATTTACATTTTAAATTACGCTACTGTTCAAGTCTGTAGTATTTTTTTTTATGTTTTTGAGACTTAAACTGTAATTCAAAAGGGAATTGGCTGCAAAAGGGAGTCAATCCCATAGACTCCCCAATGTTAAAATGCCCAACTTTACAGCAGAAAAAAACGTTTACAGCCTGGTTCAAAAAATGATTTTGGTTTATATAACTAATTTTGCCCTTCATGACAACTGTGAGGGGGGTGAATTTTTTTATGACTCATCCGTTTAACTTATATTAAGTCTTAGATTTCTGCATAATTAAGGGCGTGGCCACTTGAGTGACAGGTGGATTGCCGCTGCGGTCACCACCGTCGAGCTAGGTGGGCGTGGCTTCAGCAACCTGCTCCCGCCTCTTTGCCCAGTTTCGATTATCCGGGAGTGACGCGCGGTGACGCGCTGCTAAGATGGCGACGGCCCGCTCCGCCCACTTTGAGCTTCAAAAACGCTCTTCGGAAACCTACGGGTGACGTCACGGACACTACGTCCATGTTTTTATACCGTCTATGACAATGACCCACAATGAGCAACAACCAAGAACAGTGACATTAGACGTTGAATTTACATTGAATTTTGGTCACCCGATGTCGCAACCAAAATTTAACCAAATATCAATGTCTTATGACGTTGTGTGCCTGCTGGGAAAATACAATAAATCAGAAATGTGAAAGATTATTACGGCTTGATATATATATTATATATATTTAGATATTTTACTATATTTTAACATGTAATTTATTCATGTGATGGTAAAGGTGAATTTTTTAGCAGCTACTTCAGTCTTTAGTGTCATATGAGTCTTCAGAAATCATTTTAATATGCTGATTTGGTGCTCAAAATATATATTTTTTCAATGTTAAAAACAGTTGTGCTGCTTAGTATTTTTTATGAAAACTATGAGACTTTGATGAATAGAAAGTTCAAAAGAACAGCATTTATTTGAAAAAGATATGATAAATAAATAAAACATAAATAAAAATCTTACCAACCCCAAACATTTCAACCTGACGATGTTGGCCAGCCCAACACTGATGAGGGGGTGGCTGAAGTTATGAAAGGGGTGATGATGTAGCACAAAGTATCCCAACTAAAAAACATTATGTGGCCCATTCACGTATTTGTCGGATCGTAAACAAACCTGCCTGCTACCACATGATGGAGTTTTGGCTGTTAAAAACGTGAGACGCAGGTCAGTGGAATTAAAAAAGCTCAAGATCTAGAGACGTCTTTTTAAAAGCTGAACTTCTTTGAACTTGAGTGCCGTGTTTCAGAATGTTTACACTGAAATACAACGGAAAAGTACCTCAGTGGAATGAAAAAACGCGTTCTGAGTGAATTAAAAGCTACTTAGCAAATAGAGATGACAGAGTATTGAATAATAATACATAAAACAAAATCGCATATAGGCCAACATATTTGAAAATATGTTACCGCCACCACCAGAAGTACTTAAATTTGTCATGCTTTAGGCTACTATAAAACACTCATTGCGACCGATTCACTGATGTAACACATAATCATTGTGGCCCATTTAACAAATGCATAATTTAATGGTAAGTTAGATCAACTTGAACAGCAACAAACAATAGCTACAGTGAAATAATCAACTAACTATGATCATCTAGCCCTCTATTAAACGTAAAAAAAAATCTTTCATCATACCTTTAGCTTACTCAGTAGAGTTGCGTTCTTAGTTGCGCGGGAAGTTTGTGTGTCAAATGAAACAATTAAAATGTGAGTTTGTGAAATGGACTGTGCTAAATTGTTGCTATAGTAGCATAATATTAATGCTAGAAAGCCTGTGCATTTGGCAACTGTTTTTCTTTTTAAATAAATTATTATATTTCATAATTAAAATCTGTTTTCATATTTTGAGTGAGGGGGCCCTGCATTTAGCTGATCATGTGATCTTAAAATGGTGGCCTCCTTGAGGTGACCCGCTCCATGTAAGATAAAATAGCTTTAATCTTACATGGAAAAGCTTATAGCTTTTCTACTGTTATAACCGAAGCACTATTTTTTTAAAAGTACTTTGTATTTCTTAAGAAATTAAAAGGTTTTAAATGAGGAAGAAATTACTGAGTGCACATTTAAAACACATTGTACTAACAAACATACCTGCAGAAATGCTGCAGCTGTTTACAATCCACAGGTTTTACTGGCTGGTCAACCTGAACTCAACAGTTGTTTTTTTGGGGGATTGCCTACATTCAGCAGTCAGTTGCCAAAAACCTGTGTTTTCTCATCCCTTTCACCTCTGTTCTCCTCGCTGTCATCGCCATTCACATGGTGCGCAACAAGCTGACTTTCTGTCCAAAAAAAGGTAACAGTGCCATTCATAACACATATACACAGAAATACATATATCTCTTGTCCAATAATTTCACAGAGAATTTCTCTTAAAAATAACTACCAGTTGTTCAGTTGTTCTTATTTCTGTTCCTTAACATCTTTGAATTTTTGTCTGTGGACTAACAGGCAGTTCCTTGCTAACTACGCTGGGAGTGTTCCTCAGTTCTCTCAAAATGTGCTGCCTCCATTATCGCCATTTAAGCGGAGATGTTGCCAACTGGTTAGACCGTGCCAAGGAAAACAACGAGGGTTGTTACAGTGAGACCAGTGTGGAGAACGTCAAAATCCTAGTCAAACTTTTCCCTCTCTTTGGACTTCAGCTTTTATATCAAGCTTGCATTACCCAGGTGAGTATGCTTGGCTAAATCTATACTTTTGTTCAGCAATTAGCTTCAGTATCTTTATTTCAAATCTTTTAACAGATCCCATCAGGCTATTATCTGCAGACGATACATTCCAACTTAAAGCTCAACGGCTTTCTCCTGCCTGTAGCAGTGATGAAGGTCATCAGTATACTGCCAGTGTTGATCTTAGCCCCACTGCTGGAGCTTCTCAACACCTGCTACCAGTCTCCAAAGAAAATACTGCCCTCACCAGCCACATTTATAAGTGAGCATCCTAACTACAATTAATGAACTTCTTGTTCATCTCATGCTGCCTTCATGTGCAATTGGAAATTGCTGGTTGAAAGTCTCTTCTCATCCCGATAGCAATCACTAAGTTACATGATCTAATGTATTTATCATCTGTGGAAAGCATAGGACCATAAAATGTTCGTCCAATCATATCTCTCGGTCCGAGGGCTACGATAGGCCAGAGATTGTCTTACTATTGAGAGATGAGAGGGTCTGTATTACTTACTATTAGAGAAAGTGTAATGGTCAACTTGGATCACATTCCCTGCACTGCAGCATTAGTATTAGCCGTTACGCTTTTTTGGCTAAAGGCTGCAGGTTTGCCTTCCAATGGCTTTGGATAGGCTGCCCTACCTGCCTGTCAACATATGTATTTGCATACCTTCCTGCACCCTGTTTGCGCAGACATGATACGTCATCAGCACAGAAAAGGAATGGAAGGTGTTATTATTGTAATATTATGTGCTTTGTAGTTTGTACTGTAATGTTTTCTCACTGGTGAATGAGACATGAGATAATCTGACAGCATTGCATTCCACCAACGCCGTCTCTCATCATGTCTCTAGTTAGCCTCTGGCCTGCCTGTGCGTGGTCATGTGTTTTGGAGGAGGCGTGGCTTTGGAGAGTGATTTGCAGGGAGGGTGAGATCTTATGCTTTCAATGCTAGTTTGCTATTGCTAGGCTCTCCGAAATCGCCTACTAGGGCGGCACGATAAATCGAAATGGAATCGAGATCGCGATTCGACAGAAGCTGCGATTGTCATGCGTATCTTTCAGTGAAGCACGGTTCTGTGATCAGCAGTACATCTCCATCCAAAGGCCAGAGGGCACTCTCGTGCCGAAACTCCAAATACGCCTCGCAGAAGAAACCCAGAAAATGCCTATCGCTGCAGCTGAATAAACAGAAGATTCAACTGCTTTCATTGATTCAACGTGACTAATAAACACACGACTACGGCAATATACGGTTACTACAGCTATGTGTAGTAAATTCTGCTCCATCTGAAAGCAAGTGATGATGATTACAGAACCGGCTTTTTTAACAAAATGCGCATGACAATCGCATTCGATTAATAGTGCAGCCCTATCGCCTACTGTACCTTTAAGTCATTTCTGTTCACACTGTTTGGTTGATTCAGCAATGGCCTTGGAACTTATACTGATACCGAAAGGCATGCTACTTTTGAAATGATATAATAACAGTTTCTATGTTAATTTTATATATAAATAAAACCTAGTGCATCTTTACTATTTGTCTATATAAACTACATTTCCCTACAGCTATGGGTCATGCCTGTGCAGCTCTCTCAGCACTACTGGCAGGGATCTCCGAAATCCACAGGAAGAATTACCCCCAAGTGGAGCAGACATTATCAGGAAAGGTCCTGCATGTGTCCTCTATGACCTGTTTCCAGCTTACGCCCCAGTACATTTTACTGGGAGTGGCGGAGGCCTTTGTGACACCAGCGTGTACGTATTCTCAATTCACTTTCTAAAATATTATTTCCATGATGCTAAAGTGCTCATTAGACAACATCAATCCAGTTGTTTTGTTTTTGCTTAGATCTGCATCTCTCCTGTTCCTCTGCTCAGGCTTTCTCATATCCTTTTGTCTGACTCCCAGCAACCTTAGAGGCGTCTCCTTGCACTTCCTAACCCTCTCATATGGAGGTGGCTGCTTTCTAGGAGCTTTCCTCATTCACATTCTTTATTTTGTGTCGGGAGGTAAAAATATTTCACTCTTGAAAGTGTTGAACTTGTTATTGGGGTGCAATAGAACATGAACTCACTCGATATTGTGTTTTATGATTACAGGAAACTTCTATCCTAATAACCTCAGCAGTGGCAACATGGAGAGGTTTTTCTTTACTCTGGCCACATTAATGGCTATAAACACACTGGTGTTTTGGAGAATATCACAAAGGTACGGTTCAAGCTTTGAATATGAGATAAAAATGAAAAGTTTACAGATGTGTTTACAGATGAATCTTCATAATGTGTTTGGGCAGGTATGCAGATCTGAGCGTGGAGCTGAGTAGCGGGGCAGGACACAGTCACCTGTACGAGAAACTCCTGCAGTACAAGAACTGTCTGCGTTTTTATGACACATTGGATCGTTCAGACACCCTGACGTCCATGGAAACTGTCTTGTGAATTCATCGTACATATAAACCCTGTAATGCTGGCGTTACACAAGAGACTTTGAACGGAGTAGAGCAATAGCTGTAAATAATACAATTTAAATGTATTAAAAAAATAAAGCTATTTTATGATATATATGAGTTACTGTTTTAATGACTACAAAAACCATGTTACAAAACAAAAACATGGTAGTAGCATGTGAAGTATGTTTCTACCCAGCAGGCACAGGACATCAATATAACGTCAGGTTGACGCTGGACATGACGACGGACAGACATTGCATTTTGATTGAGAATGAAAAGTGAAAAATGTCAATATTTGATGCCAATTTGACATTGACTTAAAGTTGGATTTTGGTTCCACAACCTAAAAACAACAAATATCAACGTGAGTTGAGGTTGGTATTGGACATCAAATTGAAATTGACATTAGACATTGAATTTTGGTAGCCAGACGTCGCAACCAAAATTGAACCAAATAACGTCTTATGACGTAGTGTGCCTGCTGGGTAAAATGTCGTAGATGTTGCTGATGTCATAAACGTTATAACTGCGTTTCTGGAATGTTGTGAAAAACCCAACATCTGTCTGTAGTCTTAAGCATGTCGGATAAAAATATTATCATAACCTTTTACAACACAAAAAAAGGGTTTGCTGGGATGATACTTTTTGGTTTGTTAACGAAGATTATCTTTGTTACGTGAAAGCTTATTTTGTGACTTTTTATCTCACAATTCTGACTTTTTCTTTCGCAATTCTGAGTTTATATCTCACAATTCTGACTTTTTTCAACTCTGAAAAGAAACGTCCAAATTGTCAGGCATAGGCCTAAACTCGCAATTTAATTCCGTGGCGGAAATAAGCTTCGATCATTTTACATATCAATTGCAAAACAGATAATATTACTTATTATAATGAATGTAGAATTCAAACCCACATCATTTGCCTTCCTTCCTCATAATAAACCCTATTCGCACGGGATTAGTATTACCTGGTGACCTTCAGTCATTTGTAATAATTGCGGAGGTTGTCTGTGATCTTAATCCCGTGCGAATCGGCCATGTCTGTAATTTGTAAAGTAAAAATTCCCCCGCAAAAGACCTACCATATTTCGCCGAACACCGAGGTCCCCAGATAATACTAATCCCGTGCGAATAGGGCTATACACTGCAAAAAACGGGTTAATCTGAGCAGTGTGAGTGAAAACACACCCCAGTCACCGCTGGATGAGATGAGATCCGCCTTCGTTGCTACGGACTCGCGTTTGTTCCTCTCAACATGGACCTGCCTGAACCCATTCGGCGACGGCTTGGAGATTTCTCCAGAACCGTGTTTGTGGACCAAAGCCGAACACAACCCTCTGCGGAGGAGCACGCTGACTTTCTGAACCAGAGTATGTGTGTTTGGGTTGGCGAAATGGTGACTTTGTTTTGAGGTGCTAGCTGCTGCTGGGCTAATTCATCATGTTAGCCGAGTTTGTGTGGCACGTAACGTTAGTGTAGCTTCTCTTGGCAAACATCACATTGTTTCTTACCTGATTAGGAGATACAGTAATGCTTTATATCACTGTTAAACGGTGTTGGTTACATTCATTTCCTGAGCTGCCTAGCCTGCCTTGTCCTAGTACCTAAACAGCGAATCAATTTGTGGTTTTGAGTCGGATCTTTTAATTCTGTTGAACGTTCACAAAACCGATCTGAACGATTCATTAAGGAATCGATCGATTTTTGTCAAAAACTCACAAATGACTCATTAAACTGAAAACATAAAAAAAAAAAAAAAAAAGTTAATGTAATAAGCTTAATTTTACAATTAAAATATTTTACGAGTCAGTTTATGGCGTTTTATGAATAACGTTAATCATACAAAGCAAGTGTTTTAATAAGTAGCATTTAAAGGCACAATATGTACGATTTTTTTATTAAAATATCCAAAAACCACTAGAACAGTGTTATATATTTTGCTGACTTGTGTACTTACATTATCCCAAATGTTTCGAAGAATGTTTAAATCCAGAGAAATAAGCAATTTTAACTAGTGACACGGAGCGTGTCCATGGTGTCATTGTGTCGCCTACCAATGACGTCATAACCCCTCAATTTCTGGTTTTGTTTTGTAGAAAACATGGAAACACCAAAGACGTTTTAATATGTTGTGCGTTTTAATAGACCGGTGACGACCGCACAGAGTAGCATTATAACAGAACGTTCAAATGTATCTAGTATGATAAAACAGCTCTGCTTTACCCCACATACGCACGACCGGAAGGAGCGGAAGCGGTCGACTGTGGCATAATAAAAGCTCCGCTGCTTTCGAGCTGCGTGTTGCGCTCGTTCAGCGGCCTCGTTACGCTTCGACGGCTTTCAGCCTCACCCTGCTTCATACTACTATGTTAATAAATCATTAGCTCATCCATGAACATGATTTCTGCCCGAGTCCCGTCGGATTGCATCGGCTGTGGGGATGAAGACGACAACTCTCATGATTCCACACTCAGTCACGGCGTCATCAAACTACGCCTTTGCCTCTTTGTTTATTTTGAATACGCGCCCTCTAGTGGAGAAAATGACATATAATTAAATTAATTTTAATTATATTCAATTAAAACTTGCATTTTAAAAAATCAGCCAAAAGATGTAAATAACAGACACACAATGATGACATAAAAACGAACTGTTCGAAAGAAACTAAATATTCGAAATAACCGATTCGCAAAAATGAGTCGAACTTCCCATCACTGTAATGTTCTTTATTCGCCAGATAAGGATGTAGTATCAAGTCTCCCGCTTCAGATGTCACTTTACTTTAACATGTGGTTCTTTCCTTTCTGGTGGATCAGCGAGGTTGTGATGCTACAACTAAAGGTGATTCTCCTCTACCTAATATTTTTAAACAATTCAGTCTGAAATCACTGACTATTGCTGTTTAACCTTATTAATATTCTGGGATATTACTGCTAATAATAAATAATTAAGATTTTTCTTTTAGTACCCAGCCCTTGCAGATTATTACAAGTTCATCCTGATCACAATGCTTATTTTAATGACCCTGATTGAGGCCATCAGACTCTACCTGGGCAATGTTGGAAATCTGCAAGAGAAGGTAAACCTTTTTATAAACCTTGCTTACCTAAAGTATATAATATAATATAATATGATTGTTTCCCCCTAATCATCTCATAATTTTTTTGCATAGGTTCCAGAATTGGCTGGATTTTGGCTTCTGACTCTTCTGCTCCAGTTTCCCCTGATTCTGTTCCAGCTCTTCAATGAGGCTATTCTCATTCAACCTCTGGAGAGAGGAGTTCATATAATACTGGCCTTATTTATTTTTGCAGAGGTATGAATCTATATATATTTCTGTATCGATATGAGATTATAATTATTTAAATATGTTTTAAAGGAATTTATTTTAACACTGCAAGACTGAATATTGTTGGGGTTTTTTCAGGCTCTTTTTGGATTTGTTGCCTTGCGTGCAATGGTCCGACACACTGAAAGTCGCTTCCATTTGCGACAATTTGATGGGATTCAGGAATTAAGGATGTGACGAGACCTGCACTGATGGACTATAAAAAAACACTACAAAGATGTATTTGAAAAATACAAAGACTTTATCCATTATCAGTGGCTAACACTAGAGGACACATCAGTCATTGAGTTGAATTGTTACTGTGGATGTCTTGGTGCCTTCTTTTATACAAACAAATCTTGCCTTGTATTATATTTTGTATTTAAAATAAACATCAAAAAAAAAAAAAAACATTTACAGACTTAGATAAAAACAGATTAACCACACTCCACTGTTATAAACCACTAAATAATATTATTTATTGATTTTGAATTTAACAAACTTACAAATTGAATTTATTAGATAAATCAAATCATTAAAAGTCAGTTCCACACATGTAATTAGAAGTCACTTCCAAAAAAAAGAAAAGATCACACATGGAAATTTTTCAATGAGAAATGACATCTCTTCAATAGAAAAGAAGTTCATATTAAAATAACTTTAATGTACTACTTATTTCAGAATATAGCTTAAAAAAATGGAAAAAAAGTTTTTGTTTTCCAGTGTTTATGTATCTTTTATTAAATGTATTTAAAAAATGCTAGTTAAGGATTGCACAGTTGAAATAGTGAATTACATACAACTGCATATTCAGGCACTTGGCTTCACAGAAAATGACCTGCTCATCATCTCTTCATCTTCTTCATGTGTTTTTGTCTGGCTTGACCAGCTTTTCATAAGACTGCAGCATGTGAGATGTTTGAGGCCAAACATCTGTGGACTCGTCCTCCACTTGCATGGACTCTTGAGTCAACCGCAGATGGAATCTTGTCAAGGAAATCAGCAGCTGAGTTAAAGGGATAGTTCACCCAAAAATGAAAAATCTGTCATTAGTTACTAAGCCTCATGTTGTTCCAAACCTGTAAGACCTTCGTTCATCTTCGGAACACAAATTAAGATATTTTTGATGCATTTCGAGAGCTCTCTGACCCTCTCATAGACAGCAAGGATCCTAACACGATCAAGGCCCAGAAACGTAGCAAGGAGTTTGTTAAAATAATCCATGTGACATCAGGGGTTCAAGTAGCTTCGTAAAATTAGTTGAACCCCAGAAACGTAGCAAGGAGTTTGTTAAAATAATCCATGTGACATCAGGGGTTCAACTAATTTTACGAAGCTACGAGAATACTTTTTGTGCACAAAGAAAACAAAAATAACGACTTTATTCAACAATTTGTCTCCTCCATGTCACCCTGGCACCATTTTGGAGAGTATCTCATATGTAAACAACGTATGCTGTTCGGTGTCAGCAGCAGCGTATGCGGATACGCTGTTTCCGCTTTCATCTGAACAAAAACAGCGTATCTGCGTACATACGTTGCATACTTTATGTATGTGATACTCTCCAAAATGGCGCCAGGGTGACGCGGAGGAGACGAATTGTTGAATAAAGTCGTTATTTTGGTTTTCTTTGTGCACAAAAAGTATTCTCGTAGCTTTGCAAAATTACGGTTGGACCACTGATGTCACATGGATTAATTTAACGATGTCCTTAATACG